ATATATATATATATGTAATGTGTATGTATGTATTTCTCAACAACGGATAGATTTAATGAAAATGATTTTTTGGTTTTATTTAAATAGCACGATAAATTTTTACGAGGTTAAAATTAACATACAGTAAGATACTCTAATCTCATAAGGTTTAACATGTTATAACAAATTAAGGTAAAACACACTAGATTTGACAATGTTAAAGTTAATCAACTGTAAGATACTTTAATCTCACAAGGCTGAGCATGTTATATTTAATTAAGGTGAAATACGCTAGCTTTTGAAAGGTTGAAGTTAACCAAAAATAAGATAATCCTACAAAATTGAATACAGTTTTTCACGTTAAGATAAAAAGTAGCTAGGTTTTACAAGGCTAAAGTTAATTATATGTAAGAATTTGATCTTAGAAATTTTAACATGTTATAGATAGTTATATAATTGAAGGGCAATAATCTTAAAGAACATTATAATGTATAAAAATAACTGTATCTATCTTGGAATTACCAAAAGTAAAGCTTAACTCTGGGAAAATTTTCTTAGGATCTTTATAGGCAGGATTGAAAATACATGGCCAGTGTGGATTCTGGATGGTCGAAAGTTCAGCCAGAAGTGTAAGTTTAAAAGTTGTAATAGCCCAGTTGCAAGTAATATCTGCTGTAAAAACAGATTTTGCTTAAAGCCAACATTTGAGGGCGAATGCAACATGTCTCTGTAATACAATTCCAACATGACCAATTTTAACACCAGACAAATCGTGAAAACACAGAAAAATCGAAAACTGTCTATATCAATGCTTCCAACAGCCAGATAAGTACTTCTAGTGTCTTTTTCTTGTTGGCTGAGTCAAGATGACACGAAACAGTCCTCTCACTATCCTCTGATTTATTAGTATCAAGTTCTGATTCCTCTTCTAGGTATAACACTAAAAGTTCATCTTTAGTTTACTAAAATGTTTTTTTATATTTATTGCAGTCATGCTACTTCTGCAGTTTGTGATTTGATAAGCCAAACTGTCCAACCAAAACTGTTCACTAAAGCCATATCCAGTCTCCACGTTCGAACTTTCGTTTTTTCATTGCTTTATCATAGGATATTTTCTGCCATATGGTGGCCATTCCTAGCTGCTGGCATGAAAATTCATGTCTATCAACTAATGCAGACCTTAATCACTCCACATATTCTTGTGGACAATATGGCATTTATGCTCTAGGGGCAGAACATATAATCATGGCGTGGGGTAAGTGTTCATCCCAGTTGAGAAACAAAGATTGCAATCATCCACTTGGTAGCCTGAATTACCTATTCTGCTAAACCATCAGACCAGTGATGATATGGTGAGAGGCTCTCAACCTCACTTGTTGTTTTAATGCAAAGCTACACAATAGGCTATATGCACTGTGTCCATCATGGGGAATTGAACCCCGGATTTTAGGGTAATGAGTCCATAAACTTACAGCTGATGCGCAGTTCAATCTCATCTTCACGACTCTAAACACTTTACACAGCTTAAAAATATACTTACTGCTCAAAGTTTCTCCTTGATCCATGTGAATTTCCCCAGTTGTGCTATTTCATGATATTCAGTGTTCAGATAACACATCAGCAACAGATTGTGCTAATGTATGAACTAGTAAAATTATTTCAGTTCATTTGGTGAAGCAATCACTAATGGCCAGTAAATACAAATTATCTTGTTCAAGCTCTGGAAAGGAACCAGATATGTCCAGGAATATTCTCTATAACAAGGAACCAACAAATCTTTGCCAGATTTCACACTGTTTTAACCAGTTTTCCTCTGGATAATACACAAAGCACCGTACAGTGCTTGCACCATTGCTCAAGATATCGACTCGAAATGTGAGCAAAAGACTTCTTTGTCACATTAGCACATGTAAAAATAGAATAGCAGAAAAGTGGTGATATAATAGACACATGCGAATATGAGCCATCTTGGTGGCGTATACCCCTCTCAATATGCAAAGTGTATTTCTTGCCTGAGAGTTCCCAGGACCACTAACCATCTCGCACATTGAGGACCAAGTACAGTGGCTTATAACAATGGCACAGCACACCTTTTGCATTCATAGGTGCTTATACAAAAGCCACAGGTTATGCATCTCTGTACTACATTTCTAGATCTGTAGCAGTCATGTTCCATCCTGTTTCGTAGCAAAAAGCACTCAAACTAGGTTTCGGTTCTTCAACTTCTCTTCTAGAATTTTTGAGGTATCATAAGTAGTCTATATCCTAGTGAAATCATCAGCTACTGTATGATTGGACATCACAGCTGCCGTATTTGCCATGATTCCCACACAGTATACAGGCTCAGGAAATACAATGAATACAGACTCACCATATGACAAGAAAGAGTTTCTGCGTATGTGTTATGGGCCCAGCCGATGATATACAACAAAGTAAAACACAATTGTTAGCCACTGAAGTGATATATGACCCACAGAAACAGTCCACTTTCTATAACAGAGATAATTATGATAGTGCTGAAAAAATAATACATCTGCGAGCAGTGCTTTCTTTGTCATGCAATATCTACATTCAGGAGTCTTCAGAGTACGACCAACATACAGTTATGTATTGTACTCAGTCCTGTATCTACAACAACTCTTCTCCAATTTCACTATCACTGACATCAGTATTTAACAGGAATGAAAAATTTCTCTAGAATTTAAAATGGCACTGCGACTTTCTGAACTATCAAGTAATTTTGGTAGTGAGGTGTTTATTTGAAACCTTGCTGTAATTGCACTGTCTAATCCAGTTGTGGCAGAATTTCTGCAGAACATAAAGTGCAATAATTGCAAGATACGTAGTTGGGATAATTGATGTTATTAGATATAATATTAAGAAAATTTACAATTGGCCAAACTATAAACGATTGCTAGAATTTCTAATACACCTGAAGGCTGAAAGGAGTTTGTAATCCTTGTTTTCCAAGCACATGCATGTTGTTGCATTTACCTATCTAAATTCAATACAGAGCCTTATCATACCAACCTTCTTTCTGAATATTACTACAGAAATGAGTAAGCACTCTCTGAAGGCTGTAATGATTCTATCTTTTAACATTCACTGCTTTTAAGTTCTGGCCATCTCCCTAGTTTTTCATGGATGTATTTGCAGTTGCTTTATCAGATGTGAATCACCTGTATCTATGTGATAGCAAGTTACTGCATTCCAACCCAAATGGCTCTTTGGTCTCATAAACATATCTATTCAACCAACAATTCCCTGGGTTTCTATCATTATGTTAGATTTATATTACATGCACAGTTATGATTTATCAACTTCATATATTCTTGAAGCTATGTATTTGCTTTTGGACATGGTAGCTAGTTCTAGTTACATCCTCTTCACTTATCGTTATGATGATCTTTCCAGTGGGAATATAAATAGCCAAGTGTCCATAATGGCACAGGAACACCAAATCAGACAGCTATGATACATTATATTTTGACCCATGGAAAACCACTTGCAGAAGCAGATTTATGGTAAGGGAAGGAAATGGGTCCAAGCTCCCCATCCCAAAATAGTTTGTGTATTTAACATCACGTACAATTAGAGACAGACAACTGATGCCCATACAACAATTTTTAAGTATATACAACTTTATGCTTCCTCTGATTACATAGTGCCAACTTACCAGTCCATTCATAGTTATACACAATTGCCTAGGTCCACAAAGTTTGTAAAAAAAAACAACTTAAGTTTCTCAGAGAGGGGGCAAATCTCTCTCTTATACTCTTCCCTTGCTCAGTTGCTTTGTTCCTTCATTCTGACCAAGAGTTTGTCTTGGATATGCCACTGACTTGTGTCTCCCTCCTCAACATTCACTTATTCAACCCACTGTTCTTGGGCCCAGTATGGCTTTTATTAGATAGTTTTTCCAGAGAAATACGGTTCATCTCAATGTCAGA